AGAGTACTAGGAGACGAGGTAGTGTAGGCGCATGGGGCAGGGTTGTATCCTGCAGGGCCTTTTCAACCACTTAGGGACCTTGACTTTTACGTTGAGTAAGATGGGGATCCACTGAAGTCTTTTGAAGATTTACTTAACGTTTAAAAAAATCCCTTTGGCTAACGTGTAGAGAATAAATTCTCCAGGGAACAAGGAGATAGGGACACCTGACCAGAGGCTCTTACAGTAACCCCGTTGGTAACAGTTGCCATGATGTACAGTGATTATATTCAAGATATATTTTTCAAGAAAATATTTGCTGCAAACAAGATTTGCTTATGGATTGTATCTGGAGTGTGAAAGAACGAAAAAGTCAAGGATGATCCCAAGGTTTTGGCCTGGGTAGCTGGAAAGAAAGCATGGTAATCAACTGAAGTGAGAAAGACCCCAGGAAGGGCAGATCTGGGGGAAGGCAAAGATCAGGAGATGAGCTTTGAACATCTAAGTTTAACACATTTATTAGACAGTCAGGGGGAGACACTAAGTTTCTATCTCTCTCAGAGTAAAAGTAATCACCATGTCTTGAAAGACACTATTTTACATGATACACTATTATTTTCCTATCCCAATACCTATGAGAACTCATCTCTTATTACTTTCCTACACTTTCCCTCTGCTTTAGCTATGCTGGTCTCGCTGCTGCCCCTCAAACATGCAGGCACAGTATCTGCCTCAGGGCCGTTGTATTTCTTTTGCCTCTGACTGCATTACTCTTCTCTCAGATATCCACATAAACCCCCTCCATCTCTTCCTTCAGGTCCCTGGATAATGCCAGCTTATGAGAGAAGCACTCCCTGACCACCCTATATAAACTATACTCCCCCTCCTCTGTCTTGCACTCCCTAACCCTCTTACTCTGCTTTGTCTTTCTTCCTAGCACACAAAGCATCTGACACAGTATATATTTGCTTCTTCACTTGTTTACTTTCAGTTTCCCTCATTAGAATATGAACTCCAAGAGGCAACCATGGAAGTGCACCGCTTGGGTGTCTCTTTCAACTGCAAAGATTGCAATTAGCCAAGCTGCTCCAACTGCACTGCCTTAGGGATCTGCTGCAGCATCCAAGCTGAGGCCATATTCTTTCTGGTCAGCCTCAGCACAAAGGGAATACTAGGGCTTGGCCATTTCTGCCCAATGTGGGACTTATCAATAAATAATATTTACTCCAGAATTCCCTATTGTGTTTGCTGAACTCTTTTCAGCTCTGCACCATAGTTTGAGGTTCTTCCTGTGCAGTCCTCATTTCTCCTTTTTTTTCATAGATGTCAGATCAGTATTATGGTCTCAAGCATTTCCCAGATCAATTCTGTTTTTCCCTCTTTATATTTCACAGGAGTTACCATCCTCTCCCCCAAAACCCGAAAACAACAATTAAAAAAAGTACCCTCTTGCACTTCTAACTTGATTTCATATCCACTTTCTGGAGGATCTGAACTGACATGGTTGCTACTAGGAGTGTTCTTAACAAGTAGTAAGTTGGATTAGAATTTGGGGAGTGATCACTTGCCATCCTGGGTGGTATGTGGGATACAGATAATTCCTGGCACAAAGTAGTGGTCCATTTGCTAAAACTTTCATTGGTGGTGACTGGGAGGGATGTTCTTGTAGAAAAGGTTATGCTGGGTGGTGTAATGATGCAGGCTTTTGAAAAGTATGGAGGATGCAATGTATTTAAGGACAATGGAATTGACTGGCTGTAAATAAGTTCCAATGATGTTGTAGCGAAGAGAGAATAATAAAAAACTTCAAGCAGTTTACAAATGAATTAAAATAAAGTGTGAAGGCAAGAAGTTCTTATCTCTGTCAGTGGGAGAGCAGAAAAAATTGGAAACAAAATTTAAGACTAAATACTTAGAGTTGTTGAGCTTCAAATACAGCAAAGGTGTTGTTGAATTACAAGCTTTGGTGTCATGTGGACACTGTGGAGTCCTCAGGGATCAGCAGATGGGGAAAGGAGTCACCATCCTTTGATGAGCAGGAGGAAAATGTATAGAAATCAGGTGATCTACTTTGGCACCTCTTTGCACTCACTTGTGTAACTATGAGTGAGGAGGATATGGTACCAGACTCAGACTCCTGGAAAGAGGGTTTGAGTTACATCATTAGATAAACCTCCAAGATCAGCAGAGATAATAGCTGAGGGTGGGAGGAATTTAGAACCGAAAAGGAAGACAGGGAGTACCAGTTGTAACCAAAAGAAGAACTGCAGTGATGGGGCTATAGTTGGATCTACTAATCTCTCTCTTCCAAATTTCTGTTCAAGAAAAAACCAGCTGGCATCCTAGAGAAGCTGTCACTCGACAAGTGTACGGAGAGATGAATCCATGTGACACAGAGTGAACTGTGGCATCCATGGAGGTGCCCCTCCCTCCCTCAGATTTCCCTTCTAGAAAAAACTTACTCAGCTCTGAGGAGTGCAGCTAGCTGACAGTTTTCCTTTGCATTGTAGCTCCCCATTCTATTGGCTGAGGCATTGTCACATCTGTATCACAGTCTAATGCTCTCTCTGCCCAGTTCTGCTTCCTCACCTCTTTCTTTCCACAGGCGTCATATCTTTATCACAGTCTGAAAGCTTTCTTGCCCAATTCTGCTTCCTTTCTCTTTATCCTTCCTAGGCCTTACACCACACTCCACTCCCCTCGCCCCGCACAGAAACCTCTTTCATTCCTATCTGGGTCTCAGCATCCGCTTCCTGGAGGACCCAAACTGCCCTACTCCATGGAGACAGGATTTTTTTTTTTTTTTAATAGATTTTTTTTTTAAAGATTTTATTTTTTCATTTTTCTCCCCAAAGCCCCCCAGCACATAGTTGTATATTCTTTGTTGTGGGTCCTTCTAGTTGCGGCATGTGGGACGCTGCCTCAGCGTGGTTTGATGAGCAGTGTCATGTCCGCGCCCAGGATTCGAACCAACGAAACACTGGGCCGCCTGCAGCGGAGCGCGCGAACTTAACCGCTCGGCCACGGGGCCAGCCCCTGGAGACAGGATTTTATCTTTTTGATTCTCAGTTGAATCCTCAGTCCCTTGAGTGGTATCTTCCAAGTTGTAGGTACTAAATAAGTAGATTTTGAAAGTTGTAATCTGAATTACACATGATAATTATCTCCCTTCTCATTAGACTGGAAGCTCCTTCAGGACCAGTATAATAATAATAATAATAATAATAATAATAATAATAATAATAACTTTTATCTAATACTTACTATACGTTAAGTGCTGTGCATTTATTATTTTATTTAATATCTTGACCTTATGCAGAAGATTCTCTCATCTTCCCATTTTCCACATGAGTCTCATATTGGTTGAGATCATAAATGTGTGAATGCTCATTCAGGATTCAAACATAGGTCAGAACCCAGGGATTTGATTACCAAGTTACAATGCTTCTCACTAACTCATGTCTTAATCTTTCTGATATCGGGTCCTAACACAGAGTCTAACATAATGTCTCCTCAATAATTTTGTCTGTCTATAAAATTTACACCTTCAATGTTATTTGCATTTTGTTTGGAAGACTTTTATTCCCTTTTTCTTCAGTGAAGAATACTGTATTGGGGTCACTAGATATTTTCATTAAATAACTTTAAGGAGGAATACCAAGGATATCATTTAGATTTATTTCTGTCCTATATTATCTCTTCTAAATTTAAGTGATTTACTTAAGCTTAAAAATGCTGGCTGTATCAGAACTAACAACTTTGAAGTGAAAGGTTCCCTAACCCTTTTCCTGCTTCTTGACTCACCAACCTTCCTTGGGCAGCGTTTACTGGTTATCCTGCCACTGTCTTTAGCCTCTTTGTGGTTTCTTATAGCTATCATTTGAGGATTATGGAATCTCCATATTGGTTAGTGTCATGGATGGAGAACACCATCATCATGGTGGAAGCCATTACTGTCATTATCTCTGTGGGTCCTGAAAAATGACGACCCCCTGGAGCACTCACAAGTGTTGCTCTGTGCCAAGAGAAAATTCTAATTTTTAAAACAAATTTCCCCTCATCCCCCTGAAGTAGCATTAGTGTCAAATCAGTCATCTTATTTGGCAAAGTGGTTTGTTACACATTTTTGTTATCCTCTTCCTACGCCTCTTTAATACATTCCCTAGGATTTTAAGCAATTATCAAACAGAAATTTGAGCCTATCCTGATTTCGTCTTTTAGAGCCACACTACCTCACCTACATACCATTAAGTTACCTTTGAAAATATGTTGCTACACCCACCAGTGGCCAGAATAATGGAATAATTTTCAAGTCTCCTTACATTTTATCCTAAAAATATATGCAGTCTCAATCTATCTCTTTATCTCTCCAGGCTTCAAAATTTAATCTGTTACTCCTACCTGGATTTATGATTATGTATTGTGGATTTGGTCTACTATTCTTCTCCACGATCGGTGGACACTGAAGTGGCTCTTGGGACCATTATCTCCAGATTGGTTATCTTCAGTCAGAATCCACTAAGAAGGATATGATAAATTTCTCAGTACAAGGTAGAGTGATAATATGATAGACACATTGAAGACAGCAGAGATGATCGCGTACTATGCTTAAACTTTTAAGCTTCTAGAGAAAAAAATGGTCAAATAGTTTTTAAAGTTTCTGACAACTTATCCGTACTTTACAGGTAAAACAAAACTTGTAAGACTAGTTTTACTCTAGTTCTGCCTCACAGTCTGGGGACTTTGACCTCATTTGAATATCAGGTTCGGACTTGGCATGCTATGGAAAGGAGGGAAAGCGTGTCCTGGTTCAGTGCTGCCCTTGGAATTAATAAAGTAAATAACACTGAAATCAATACCATAACGTTGCTAGCCATTGTCAATTTGCTTTCTCTCATCTGAGATGCAACATCTCAAACACACACGGTAGGGTAATGGCGTGGGCCTCAGGAGCCTTAGACTTTTCCAGCGTTCCATATTGCTCCTTTTCTCCTTACCCATTTTGCGCTCCTCTTCTCGCCATGCGTTTATTCACTGACTCTCAGATCTCATAATAATCTCTTTTCCACTAGGCCATGGGCTCTATTATGCCTAGTACTATAATGTTAAAATAAAAACGAGTCACCTGGAGGTCGGGGTCCCACCGCTGCTTGGGGGCCAGCAGCCGTCCAGGACGCCCGCGCATGCCCTCTTCCTCGCGGGGCTCGTGGCCGCTGACCACGGAGCCGAGCGCGCATACCCGCGGGAAGAGCTCCTCGTCTAGCAGGAGGGCGCGGCTCCCGCTGGGCACGCAGGTCAGGTCGAGGTGGACCAGGGACCCCGCGCGAGGCCGCACCTTGCCGGCTGCAGGCTGACCGGATGGGCCGCGAGGGGCCGTCTTGGGGACTGAGGACTTTCTGGACAGGGGTGCCGGACTTTCGTTGTCACAGGGCTTGTTCCGCGGGCTGAGTGGCCGACGGGCCGGGTGCCACCGGCCAGCCCCTTGGTTTTGGCGGCGGCAGTAAGGGGCTGGAAGCGGGCCAGGGACTTCTGGGTACTGCAGAGGCCCTCGGTTAGCCGGGTCTGTTGGGTGTGGGGCGGGGGTCCCCCCCAGCATCTCGGGGGTCCACCAGGCAGATGCTGGGGGTCTGGGCAGCAGGGGCGGGGATGGGGGTACTTGAGGAGGTCGTCAGCGGGCCAGTGGGAGGGACTCGGAAGCCTCCCGAGGCCGAGGCCGCAGTGCCGGGGGCGGCAGGCAGGGGGCCTGAGTCGGACAGGGCGGGCAGGGGCTCGCTGACGGACGTGGGCGACGTCTCCTCGACCGTCGAGACACCCAGCTCCTGGCACCCGCGCTCCTGGCCTTGTCGCTGCGGGGTCGCAGGTGCTGGCGCCATGGGCGTGACCTCGCGGGGCCCAGAATCGCAGGGCGACGCCAGGCTCAGGTCTGCGTGGTGCGCGTTGGCGAGCGCCCCGCTGGGGGACCGCGCAACGGGCGGGTGTGGTGGTGGTGGCGGCGGCAGCACGTGCGGGAAGGAGACGGACTGGAACTGCCCGCCTCGGTGGGGTGTGGGGAGCCCACCTCTGAAGGCAGCGAGGGCGTGGGCGCTGGGGGCTGCGACACTATTGAGCACTTACTGTGTATTAGGCACTGTGCGCGTGCTCTTTACCTCTTAACCTGTCCCTTCTCCTCATCCGTGATATGCGTCTGTTTTAGACCAAGTATTTCTCTTAGTATGTCTCGGTCCAGACCAAGACATTTTCTTTGAAATAATTAGTGTTACTTTTCATCGTGAATACTCAGAGGGAGCAATTCTTTTTATGATAGGATATGACTATGGTTAATACCCGAGTAAAGCAGTGGATTAGTTATATGGCGTCAGTAAAATATTGGCCTGGTGTGTTCCATTTCAGGGTTTTCTAAGAAGAGCAGGTTGATATGGATAAATGTTGAAATCATCGTGGGATGGACGAAGTTTTACATTTGCATCCTCAAATATAGCATCTTTAAGATCTTAATTTACTTAAAGTTATAAAGAATTAAAGTTCAGAGTGTGCTAGTAGAGTCCTGAAGAAATCAACTGAGATTTTTTGTAGTAACAGTAATTATGAAAATCCCCAAAGCACTGGCCTATAGGAAGAGCACTGTCCTCTCTCCAGTTCTCCTCTTAATTCATTCTCAAGGAGAAGAAGTAATTTCTTCTGCAGATTCCAGGACTCTGTATTGAATCCCATCTTAGTGGGTTTAGCTTGCACAGGTGGAACTTCTGCTTACCTGGGTATTTGCTTCTCAGCTTACTGCTCTCATTACATTATATGAAAGTTGTGAGAGTGCTGAAGCCCTCACATGTCAACTTGCTCTCTGATGTCACTCTACTTTCTGACTCTCTGGGTCTTTTTTTCCCTCTGGAACTAGGGGTTTGTACTTTAGATAGGCCTCAATAAACAGAGATTGGAAAAATACAAAGCTTGGTTTTGAATTTAGGACAATGATTCTCATTTAATCTGTAGACCACCTGTCTCAGAATGACCTCCTAGCTAAAAGGCAGATTCCTGGACCCATTCTAGAGTTATGGGATCAGAATATCTGATGGTAGGCAGAGGTTGCCCTATCTAGGATATTGTTATATACTCTAAAGATTTTGGTTCATGAGTTAGGTCTGACAGTGGTTCTCAATCCTGGCTGCATATTAGAATTACCAGTGAATTGAAAACTATTGATAGGGGGATAATATTCCAGAAAAATTAAATCAGCATTTAAACTGAATTCCCCAGGTGACTCTAATATGCAGTTACCGTTGAAATTCATGGATTGGGAAAGGAGTGTTGCCTAGATAGTGAAATCTAACTTTAACTCTGCTTTCTTTCTGACCTTATGGTATGTGTTTTAATCAGTTAGATTCCTATAGAATTAGTTCAGTCAGCGCTTGTAACAAGAAGAAAGTTGTGATACATCTAGAATCAATAATAACACAACTAGAATATTTGAGCTATTGGCCTGTGAAACTTTGCTTTACGTAATTTGTAAAAATAAAAATATGGTCATCTTAAAGTCCTTAGATAAATTTTGTGCTAAAAAAATGAAATAGGTTTTTAAACATTTTTCACCAAAGATTCCCCCCGAGCTTTGAAAGATAATGATTAAAGTATCACTTAAATTGAAGAGAAAAACCCTTTTCATTCATCTTTTCCATCTTGCAGGTGATGGAAATCTCATGCATAAAGGCCTGGTTATTCCAAGTGATGCTGTGTGTTTTCTTATCATCCTTATATTGCTAAGATATTATCAATGCTCAGGTTAATGTTCTGTGTGTGTGTGTCAGGTGATCTCCTAAGTGACTTCTCAGGGTTTTTGGGTATGGTGCATCATGTCTTAATGGACTGTAGCTTAAGTCATTACACACACACACACACAGTGTGCTGAGAGATGTATATTGACCTATACAATTGTAGTTTATGAGTTTTAAGTCTATGGTGATGATAATTTCATTGAACCTGAACATTCGTTTCATCGATGTGATATAACTTTTTGGTTTTGAAAACAGTAATGATAATTTAAGCTGAGGGAAAAAAATCAGTAGTAATTTCTGTAATGCAGTTTTTGAATCACATAGTTAGAACCAAATCTCATATTATAGCACACAGAATGTATTTTCTTCATCACAGAGGTCAATTTCCTAAGAATATTTTCCGTAAAGGGAAGGGGAAATATATATGCGTTTGACTATTATCATTTTACCTTCCTTGATACATAATGATAATCATGAAGATGGTAATTTGTTTTATTTGACTATTAATCATTTTATTGCTATTAATCTGCTAAATGCTTAAACAGATTAGGATATAAAATAGCACATAGATTGGGTTTTATGTTAAGATGCTAAGTTTAATAAAATTTATATAGGTTGAAATAATACTAAATATAGTCAGAAATTACTTGCATAATATAGACAATATTACAAAATGCTATAACAAGGATACTTAAAATATATAAAACATTTTGAGGGCTGAACAGTATTTTAGGTTTATGAGGGACATTCATCTACAAATAAGACAGAATTGAGAAATGGGGTTAGTTTAATAAGTGGCTGTGAATAAACTGTGAGGCTTTAGAACTAGATAGAGAGATTTTTGTTCTGGTTTCAACTCCCATTTTCAGAAATCTGCCCCTGTCCTGTATTGCTTTGATTAAATAGCTGCAGTTGTCTCCAAATGTCCTTGAAACTCGTCATCTCTTTTAATCCATGGACCAGAACTTCTTTGATCTTCCTTCAAACAAAACTTTCAGTTTGTTCAATGTTTAATTTTGTTATTCATGTAATATGAAATCCTTTGAGTACCATTAAAGACCCCCCTCCCTCCAAACGTCTGTCTTCTAACTTAGCATTAAACCTCACATGTGTTCTCTTAACTATGTCAGGAATATGCTTTCTCATTCATGATTATTTGCCTTCGGTTATGGTACACCCTAAACATCTCGTCCTACACCCCTGACTTATATTATGTCACACATCTGGCCAAAATGTTTCACATTTCCTAACTGGTCTCTGAATATCTTACCCCACTGGAATGTATTTTTCATTCTAAAAGTGATTCTTTTAAAGTTGTAAATCTAATCACAGCTAACCTGCTTATAGCCTCTCAGTGACTTTAATCATTTTTAGGATGGAATTAGAAATCCATGAAAAGACTTACAAGGTCTTCAGTAATCTGATCTCTGTCAACCTCTCCAGATTCTTTTCTTAGCCTTTTCTCTTTGTTCTAGACGTGCTTGGGCTCTTTGAGTTCCTGGGATAGGCCACAGTCACTCTCTAGGCCTTCTGATGTGGGACATTTTCTGCACCCCTGGTAACACATCCTTCTGGGTTTTTTTGCCCCAGTTCTCCAGGTAGGAAATAAATACAGAGATTGTATACTTAATACTCTTTTAAAAAGTAAAGAATACTGTACTTACACTCTTGGATAAGGTGGAGTGATAGGGACTGAATTTACCCTATTTCCCGCTTGAAACAAAATATAGACAGAATATATGAAAAATATCTTGGGTGGTAGGATTTTCAGATAATCCTCAAAATCTTCCTGTATCACACAACCCGTGTTGTAACTGTCCACCTAACTAACCACTATGCATTTTTTTGGTGATACCACATCATCAAATTTTGTGTATATTAAGACAAAATCAAATGCTCCTCAAAATGGATCTTAGGCTTAAATTTAAAACCTAAAACTATAAAACTTTTATAAAAAACATAAGAGAAAATCTTTGTGATCTTGAGTTGTGCAAAGATTTCTTAAATATGACTCTAAAAGCATGATCCATAAAAATACTTAATTGATAAATTGGATGTCATCAAAATTGAAACTTTTGATCTTCAAAAGACAACATTAAGAAAAACAAAAGACAAGCCCCAGACTAGGAGAAACTATTTGTAAATTGCATATCTGAATACATAGGAAGTGTATTTAGAATCTATTAAAAAATACTTTCAAAACTCAATTACTATAAGATAACAAACCGCCCAATAAAAAGCTGTGCAATTTTTGGACGAACACTTTAACAGAGAAAATATATTAATGACAATAAGCACATGAAAAGAGGCTCAAGATCATTAGTCAATAGGGAAATAAAAATTAAAACCACAATAAGATACTACTACTTACCTATCACAATGAATAAGTTAAAAAGACTGACCATACTAAGTTTTGGTGAGTACGTGAAGAAACTGGACATCTTATACACTGCTAACTGGAACATAAAATGGTACAAATCCTTTGGAAAACAATCTAGCAGGTTCTTAGAAAGTTAAACTTACACTTACCATGTGATCCAGCCATTCACTCTTATTTATATAGCCAAGAAAAATAAAAGCGTACTTGTTCTACGTGAATCTTCATAGCAGCTTTACTTTAATAGCCCCCAACTTGAAACAATCCGGATGTCCATCAGCAGATGAATGGATAAACCATTGATGTTATTTCTAAACAATGTAATAGTACTCAGCAATAAAAAGGGATGGACTATTGATACATGCTACAACATGGATGAATCATAAAATAATTATGATGAGTTAAAGAAGACAGAGCAAAAGAGGGTACATATTTTATGATTCTGTTTATATAAAGTTCTAGAAAATACAAACTAATCTATGATAACTGAAAGCAGATTAGTGGTTGCCAACGAATGAGGGTAGGTTGTTGGGAGGCAGCAATTACAAAAGGACATGAGGAAACTTGGTGGTGATGGATTTGCTCAGTACTTTGATGATAGTGATGGTTTTATAGATGTATACCTATGTCAAAATTTGTCAAAGTGTTTAAATAGATGCAGCTTATTATATATCAGTTACACCTCAGTAAAGCTGTTTACAAAAAGAAAAGAATATATCTAATAGGCAAACCTTTCCCAGAGCTTCTTTTTTAGCTTTCCTGAATTGATGAGAGGTGCGATTACTCAGCAGTGTGGTGTACAGCGAAGAATGAGAATCCCAAACCAAGGGTTTGAAGAATGTAGCTTCTAGTGGCTTGAGAACAGATCTGGGTTCTTAAAGTGGAGACCTGGAAATTCCCAAATGATTGAGGTTGTTATCAACTTAGAATTATGGTCCATGATCCAGTTATGCATTTCCTGAATTCAGTTTTTCAGTTTTGTACCACTGGTGATTCAGTGAAATTGTTTTGTACCCCATTGTTTAGATTATGCATATAACACTTAATGTAGCTACAGTGTTGTGGAGTCCAAGTTGTAATCACCTTAATTGTTTTGGTAACTCTGGAAAAGACCTTCATATCATGATTTTAAATTAGTTTTTTAGTGGATCACACATACTGAACATGCTTTTAAAAATATCTTCAACAGCCGGCCTGGTAGCATAGTGGTAAAGTTCAGGTGCTCCACTTCGGCAATCTGGGGTTCATGGGTGCAGATCCTGGGCACGGACCTACACACCACTCATTGAGCCATGCTGTGGCAGCATCCCACATACAAAATAGAGGAAGAATGGCACAGATGTTAGCTCAGCAACCATCTTCCTCAAGCAAAAAGAGGAAGGTTGGCAATGGATGTTAGCTCAGGGCCAATCTTCCTCACCAAAAAGAAAAAAAAAAGTCTTGATTCCATTTATCATCAGTGTGTAACCTAATGGAATCCTTATCCTAAACTTTGATGAAATTTAATGTGATTCTATTATTTTGGAAGCTTGGAAAGCATCTCTATGTGGTGAGCAATTGTAGGACCAATGGTTTTAGTAAATAGACTAAAAAATATGAAAACCACATAACCCAAGTAGTTATATAATACTAAACAAACTTTCTGAAACATATTTTTAGGGCCCTGTTCAGTCAAATAAAACCGTAGAATCAGCAGTTTTCTCATGGATTATTTTTTTGATGGCTTAATATTCTGGTCCTTGCATGACTGAAATTATAGTGCATTGGAATTTACATTGCTCTAAAATTCTCTTCCTTTGCTGGCACCGGAGCTAACAACTGTTGGCAATCTTTTTTTTTTCCTGCTTTTTCTCCCCCAATCCCCCCAGTACGTAGTTGTATACTCTAGTTGTGGGTCCCTCTAGTTGTGGCATGCAGGACGCCACCTGAGTGTGGCCCGATGAGCGGTGCCATGTCCGTGCCCAGGATCTGAACTGACGAAACCCTGGGCTGCCAAAGCGGAGCGCTCGAACTTAGCCACTCAGCCATGGGGCTGGCCCCAATGAGTATCCTTTTTGATTAATGTAATGGTCTTTAATCTACCTTATTTTAGAAAGATTATTCAGTTATTATGTTGAAAAATATCCAGCTAATTGAATTTTTAGACCACGGAGAACAAAATTAATTAGGATGTTCTTACCAAGTAGTATTAGATATGTTTTCCATCAAACATGAAATCGATATTATTATAGCATTGCTAAGAAAGACATTATTTGGCATTGTCTTCTTAATGATTAATAGACTAATAGTGAGAGTCTCTCTAACTTTTAACAATTTAGTGAGGCTGTTCTTAATAGGCTATAATGATTAGTCCTTTTTCCAAGGAGTATAATAGGTTGCTAAACAGTATATTGTTTATATCTGAATATTCATTGCTTACCCAAATTCAGATTATAAAGCTAAAGTATGGTTTTATTTTATGGTTTAACTGGTGCTCATTTCCACTACTTGAGAACTGGACTAGTAGTTTGTACGGAGTAAAGAAATAAAGCTTTTTTTCCCCAGGTATTCATATTTTGACCATGGCTTACTTGTACAAATTGGTGTCATTTTCAATATCATACTCGCCTTTTTCAAACATGTCTATCTTATGTAGAGAGTAGCTCGCCAATTTTATTCCCATTTCTTTTTGGTCATATCTATCTCTTCCTCTCCATTCTTCTCATCAGTTGGGGTCTGGGATGTAACCCACCTTTCAGTGGATAAATTCTCTAAACTCTCAGGTAAGACTTCTGAACTTTCTTCAACAAAATCTTTGAAACTCAGTTGGTACCAGAGTCATATTTCAGTAACATTTTGAAGTTCCAATTTAAGTACTTCATTGTCTCTTGAAACTTGAAATGATTTTAAATTTTAAATTTTATTTAAATATAATTAATATTTTAAATCATTATTTTCAAGATTTTTCTACTACTTGCTCTCTGCCTGCCTTCTCTAGTTATATGCTCTAGAGGTAAAATAAATATAATGAAAACCACATATGTAATTAAAAATTTTCTTTACCTATACCCTGTCACAGTTTAAGTCCAATCAGGAGACAGAAGTCATAAAGTGATTTAAACAGAGAACATTTAATATAAAGAATTATTAAGCCAGGAGAGGAGAGTTAGTATGAAGATATAAAGAAAACTCTAAAAAAGAGCTGAGGGAGAGTACTCAAGGAAGGACAACCTTGGAAGGCAGGCCCTACTCCATGGCTGAGATTCAGACTCCCTTGGAGAAAGTGCAGTTTTAGCACACTGGATGGCCGAGAGGGGTTGCGTGGGCCAGAGATGGCCCATAGTCACTGAGCAGCAGGAAACTATCCTTGGGGGTGTGATTGAGCCATGGCTGGTAGGCATGCTCAGAGAGAGTTGGGGTGCTCTTATGGGTGTGAGACCTAGAACATGCAGTGTCTCTGTCTGAAGGGAAGGTGATCGCTGGGCCTGGGGTGGGGCTATGAGGTTGCTGAAGAACTGTGCACTCTGGATATCTGGCTGGGACAGAGCACCCTCCCCAGATGTCATCAAACACCTGCACTGCTGATGACTGTGCAGCAAGAGAAAGATAAACCCCGAAAGTTCAGCAGTCAAACAAGAAGAGGAATTCCCTTCATCCTGCAATGCCACTCTAACATCCTCAACTGACAAAGCTTAAAAGCATGTGGACTGTAAATGTGAAATGCTTTAAGAATCCAGTCCATTATCACAGAGCAGGTACTGAATAGTGAACCTGAAGCTCAGAGGCAATAAGTTGATAACTGATACACAGCCACATATATAAAAAAAACAAACAGGTGAAATTAATTTTAATAAGGTATTCAAAGTGGTATATCAAAATATTTCAACATTTAATCAATATAAAAATTACTAGATATTTTACATTCTTTTAGTACTAAGTTTCAAAATCCAATGTATATTTTGCATTTACAGTGCATCTCAATTTGGACGCTAAGTTTTCATTGGGTATACTTGATCTGTATTTAAGTTTCATAAAATTTATAGTTGAAAAAGTAGATTCATATACCCAAATTGTTCCAGATATACTTAAAAGTTTTCCAAAAAGTTAAATGAGAACTCTAAATCATTTTCCTTTAACATTCACATTGATAAAACTGATTATTCTATTATAAAGGAATTGATATGAACTTAAAGTAAAAATTGTAACAGTTTCAAGACAGTATCTGTTTCATAGACAGTACCTGTCTAGGTTATGTAAACTCACTAACTTTTGTGATAGCTCAGTATTATTAATATTGAATTCAAAAAGTTATTGGAAAATTGAAAATTAGCTCTGAATTGATCAATATCAGCAATGTTCTTCAAAATTTCTTTTGATTTGCAGCCAATTACATAATGCTGTCAAAAACAAAATCTTCTGCATATAGACCCATGTTAAAAAAATGTAAAAGAATTATTATTGATTTTATTATTAACATGTCTAGCTATGTCATAAATAAGATTTTCCTTTCCTTGGCGATTCACCTTTAGCTCATTCATATGCAGTGTGATATGGATTATAATTTGATAAGCAAGAAACCCACCAGGCTTTTAAAGAAATGATACTAACTTGAACTTAAGGAACAGAATCATTTTATAACGAAAAGAAGTCTCTGGGTCTTTGACCTTCTACAGACGTGAAACAGACAGATAAAGTTATTCAGCCCTAAACACAGGCCAGAAGGCAGAGCCAATATTCATGGTAAATCACTCTCAGGCAACTAGTCTGGCTTTAATCAAGGAATTGGAGATGTGCATTTAGCTGTATTTCAGAATTGTAATAAATCTGTGATTGCTATGAGCCTTCATTTCCCCTTGCTCCTTTTCCCCCCAATTTTTAAAATTGTGGGAAAATACACGTAACATAAAATTTACCACCTTAAACATTTTTAAGTGTATATTTCTATGGTATTAAATACATTCATATTGTTGTGCAACCATCACCACCATCCATTACCAGAACTATTTTCATCTTGTAAAACTGAAACTCTATGACCCGTTAAACAATAACTTCCCATTCCCTCCTCCCTCCAGCTCATGGCAACCACCTCTGTACTTTGTGTCTCTATGATTTTGACTACTCTAAGTACTTCATATAAGTGGAATCGTACAATGTTTGTCTTCTGCGACTGGCTATTTCACTCAATATAATGTTCTCAAAGTTCATCCACATTGTAGCATATGTCAAAATTTCCTTCCTGTTTAAGGCTGAATAATATTCCATTATATGTATATACCACATTTTATTTATCCATTCATCCAGTGATAGATACTTGGGTCACTTCCATATCTAAGCTATTGTGAATAATGACACTATGAACGTGGGTGTACAAATATCTCCTTAAGACCTTCCTTTTAATTCTTTTGCATCTATACCCAGAAGTGGAATTGCTGGATAATATAGTAATTCTGTTTTCAATTTTTTGAGGAATAATAACTGTTTTATACAGCAGTCATACTATTTTACATTCCCACCAACAGTACACAAGGGTTCCAATTTCTATGCATCCTTGCCAACACTTATTTTCTTTTTTCTTGATAGTAGCCATCCTAAGGTGTATGAGGTGGTATCTCATTGTAGTTTTGATTTGTATTTGCCTAATGCTTAACAACGTTGAGCATCTTTTCATGTGCTTATTGGCCATTGGTGTATCTTCTTTTGAGAAGTATCCTTTGCCTATTTTTGAATCAAGTTGTTTGCTTTTCTTGTTGAGTTTTAGGAATTCTCTCTATGTTCTGGATATCAATGACTTTTCAGTATATTATTTACAAATATTTTAGCTCATTCTGTAGATTTCCTTTTTAATCTGCTGATAATATCTTTTGATGTACACAGTTTTTAAATTTTCAGAAATTCCAATTTGTTTTTTCTTTTGTTGCCTGTGCCTTTGGTGTCATATGCAAGAATTCATCACCACATCCAATGTCATGAAGATTTCCCCCTATATTTTCTAAGAGTTTTGTGGGGCAGGGGCTTGCAGCAATGTGGGGAGGTACAGCAAAAATGGCCACCCACTTCTTTGTCTGTATCTCTGTGATTAGAAGCAGCAATCAGTGATCAGAGTGCAGATCCCTGATATTTGGAGGTCAGGGTCCTTTTTACCCACTGTGGCTCCTACAAACTGTGTGCAAGCTCTTCTGGAAACCTGTATGGCTGCCTGCTATGTGGCTGAGGAGTGGGGATGGGTAGCTGCCACTGTGCTAAGAATTGATTGACCAAATTAATGACAGTTTACTCTCAAAGCCTTCTAGAAGTTGCCACCCCTCAATAGACTCCAGAGTTCCAAAATAGTTACATCTGACAGATTCTGCTGGTGCAGTTGTTGTCTAGGTGGGGAGACAGATTCCTGGTGCTTTGTACTCCACCATCTTCCCAGAATCCTCTCCAAGTTAATATGTCTTTTTGATCAATCTCTTAAAGTAATTGTTTGGACATAGGCTAAAATTTAAAATATGTTTTAAAGAGCCCATTAACGTAAGCTGGAAGGGTGTGAATAAATCACGGATGACTAGCAGGCCCCTTTGATTTCCTATTAAAAATTATTTTAATATGACTGATTTTTATGTACATTGATGATCTAATAGTTTTATTTGTCCACTGTGACATTTAACCAATAACTAGTATTTATCAGTCTCTAGAATGAAATATATAATATCTAGTCATTTATGATTTTATAACTGATGACAGTAATTGGATCATAATTTGTTTTATTTGGTGGAGAGCTGAGTCAAACGTAACTACTCAGGTTATGACAAATCATTGTCATTGGCCTTTGCAAAATTTCTCTGTTTATTTGTTTAAAAAAATCTATCCCATTTTATCTGCAATTTCCCTCCTATATCCTCACCCTTATGAGATGTATCCTTCTGTTTGTATTTATTCTTGTAAAAACTATATATATTGTGTGGATTTTTAGTTTGCATGCATAAATTATATTGGTCTATACATCTAGTTTTGTTTCTTGTTTTTTTTCTATTCAACGTTGTTTTTAAGATCTGTGTTGCTCTTTTTATACCTGTTCAGTATTTTCCCTATTGCCACACGGTAGTTTATAGTATGCATATATACACTTCATCTATCTTGTTTCCCAGTGATGGACTAAGAGATCTTCTATTCCTTGTCACCACAAACAGTCCTTGTACAGCTTCCCTTTTGGACTGGATCATAAATTTTACTCAGCATAAAACAGTGCTGTTTATGCTGCATTTGAGATAACCTACCTTCATGTATGTAACTTTAAAGACTCATAGCCTATGTTTCTTCCTGGGAATTTAAATTAAAGGCCATAGGAAGAAGCCTTTTAATCCCAAATTAAGGGGCCACTGATTTTCCCACAGACTTACTAATGAAGTGCATCAAGCCATTATTGTGTGGTCTAAATTCTGTGTGAATATCAAGTATTGTTTAAATAGTCATTAAAAAGTACTTATGGAAAGAAAAATTCTCCCATGGAAATGTATGAAAATTGTTGCTATCATTATAAAGTCATTTGAAAGGAACATATTATTTGCTATGCAGTCTATCATAACTCCTTACTTTAAAAACTAATTTTAAGTACTATGAAAGAATTACCATTTTCTTCCCTGTAATCTTAAATCTTGGCATCTTTGCCAGTTCATCTTGGCTGAGCTGTAGTTATGATCCATAAATAATTCTATTTATCAAATTTTCAGTGTAGTGACTAACATGAATAAATACACTTGGGCCACTGGTCAACATTATGTACTAGTTATAGGCTGATTAAAAGTTAAATTTCTAATAGAGCATAAATTATTCTTCCTATGAGCAAGCATATTGAATTTCACTATATTTTTACTTCTCTTCTTTTAGAAATGTATTTTCAAAATAAAATGTGAGATTAAGGCTTTGTTTCCAGCCAAGAGCTCAGTATGATAGATTCAAGGTGGTCACAGATTATTTGATCTTTCTCCCATTGAGAGGTCAGGTCTCTTCCCCACTGCTGGAATCTAAGTGAGCTTTGTGACTTCTTTGATCAATAGAATATGACAATGTGACCTTGTATCTGTTTCCAAGCCTGACTTTTAAGGAAAAGACAGTTTCTAGTTATAACCTCTTGGAATACTCATTCTGAGGGCAGCCAGCTTCCATGTAAGAAGACTGATTATACTAGGAGAACCATGCTATGAAGAAGTCCAGGCTAGCCACATGGAAGCCAGATGGATATCTCTCCAGCCCATAGTTGTTCCAACTATGTCAGCACAGGCATCAGATGTGGGTGAAGAAGCTTTTAGATGACCCTAGCTCAGCTACTCTCTGACTGTAATCGAATGAGAGACTCCAAATGAGAACCGTTTCACCTGAGCTCAGTCAACCCACATAACAATGTAAAATAAATACTTGTTTTAAGCCATTAAATTTTGGGGGTGATTAATCTGCAGCATTAGACAACAGGAATATTTGATCTCCAAATTGTTTCTCAGGCTTATGAGATGTTACGGTAACTGTGCTAAAATAAAACGTGTCCATGGGGTCATGTGTGCTCTCCTTATACTAAAATAGTTTATATCTATCTATGATAACTAGGACAAGAAATAGGAGATAATGAGTAAATTTCTGAATGTTTAAGGATTGGACTGAGTATGAAACTTATTATTGTAATAATCTTTTGACCAAAGAAGACCAGAAAGAAAGGAGACAAATGTGTTTGCAACAGCAGATAAATTTGATGAGCTTGAAAAAGATCAATTCTTAAAATTTTAAAGAATATATTTCCAAGGCATTCTTTAATCACCCCCCAGGGAATAGTCAGCATCTCTTTGTGGGACTGCATAGATTTGGGAAGTTTTTATTTTGTGAGATGAATATTTATTCATTTCTCTATTTGAGACTGTGTGTATGTTATCAGAATATGTGAAAATTTACTATTGCCTATTTGTATATATTCAAATGTCTTATCTTTAAGTCCTGGATGTGTGTTTATCAGACCTGTGACCTACCTAGATCACTGACTCTCAGGATCTTAATCTGTAAAATGAAGATAAAAACTGTAACCAGTTTATAAGTCTTTATTGTGAAGAACAAATGAGAGAATTCATGAAAAACTCAGGAGAGTGCCTGGCAGGTATTAAATACCCAATGAAGTTTATTATTATTTTTAATATTACTATTACCATTACTATATAAAAAATAACAATAGAAATAAAAGGGAGCAGTGAGAGAGATTGTTTAGACAGAGACTGAGTCCACACTTTCTCCATTTTAAACTAGAGTCCAGTCCTTCCCCATTGCTATTTGCAATTGTCCTAGAGATTTAAAAAAAAATTTTCTTGAGTAAGTACTAAATATTGGGACAGCAGTATAAAATGTTCCCTGTGTCTTTCTTTCATTTTAAATCTATCAGTTCTACATTTTGGAAGAATCTACACCTTGAAGTCTGGACCAGGGAATGGAGGACTCTGCAGGGCCCCAGGGGTCCTCAGATGATACTTAAAAAAGTTTCTTGCGTTAGTTTGAACTGAGTAATAAACAGCACAGGTTGAGCTGAGATGCCATTCCCTTCCTTTGGTGGTGGAGATGAGAAGAGATATAAAATTCTTCATGGTCTGGAGATATTTTTTTACCTCTTATATATTAACTCTCCCCATTGCTTGCCTTGGAGTCTTCATTTTCTGCGTGTGGTTACATATACTTGGTGTACTTTCTCATCTCTGGGAAGTCACACATCTCTCCTTCCTGCCAGGATCACTCACCCCTTTCCCCTTCTCTGACTAATGCCTAATGTTTGTTTTTCTAGTAGAGTAGAAATCACTTTGGGACGTCGGTGCCAAAACAGTTGGATATCTTCCTTCTTAATGTTTCTGTGGCTACCTGAATTTTGCTTAATTTAATGCTTGTTCCACTGTACTGAAAAATTTAATGTATTTATCTGTCTCTTCCAATAGAGTGTAAGCTCCTTGAAGGGAGAGACTGCTTTATTTTCACTGGCGAGTACAATGCTTGGCATACAGAAGATACTCAGTAAGTATTTGTTGAAGTAATACTAAAGAGATGCTAAAGTCAGAGGGTCAACTCCATTGAGTCCTTCCAGAAGAAAAAGAGCATGCTGCTGTTGTTTAGCTCTCCTTTGTCTAACTACCTACCTTTTGGAGCTAGTTGAGTTTTATAATTTTTTTTCTTCTTCCCATTTACCTTAGCTTTTGTGTTTCCATGTATATCTAGTTTATATTATGTCTAGTTTTATGTATTATTTGTGGGTCTGGGTACCTCTTTGTTAAATAAAATATTGACCTGTTTTTATTTTTTAACCCCCAAATTGAATTTGTTTTGCAGGAATAGTGGTGGTGATTTCCATTGCAAACATGGATGTTCCCTTAACATACATTAAGACCATATCACACTCTATAGTATTCCAAAAGGGAAGGTGAACTGTTTTCAAAGGTAATAAATAGCTTTAACAACAAAGGATGTAAACACCTCATGAAACAAAAAGTCTCTAGTCATATGAATGACTTGTTGCTAAACATTTCAACAGGATCAACCTTTGTTTCTTTGATCTTTAGGTTTCTACTTTTGAATGTCCACACCTGGCATCTGCAGTAAAATACACAGCATCTGGATTACAGAATGCAAATAACATCCATTCAGGCAAACTTTCAAGCTTTGGTATATGCATCATGCATTGAAAATAAATTGATTTAGACTGCTGTAGGACCTTTATATGATTTTGGGGATCAACTTTAAAATTTTTCTTTGGATGGACCTATTCTGCCTCCCTTTTCAGTATTGAATAGGATCTTTTATTATTCTCAATATCATTTGAATACTAAACGGCACTAATTGAGTATATTTAGTAAGAATGACTAGTTTTTCTTAAGTTTCTGTATACCTTTCTGCATTAAACAGATTTCTAAAACCCATAAAGAATCATTTATTAGCAAGATACTTAGACATTTTCCTTATGCTATTTATTGTCCGCAACTTTTAGGTACCTTGGAAAAATGTAAAAATTTGAAACAAGCCAACATTTTTTTTCTAGTCGTATACCATTATGACTTCTTTTTTCTCAAAACTTTTGTGGAAGTGGGGTTAGGAAAAGTGCAAGAATTGGCAAAAAACAGAGGAAGGCAAATATTAATTATCATGTATAATTGAGTAATAAGCCTTAAAGGCACAATGTTTCTAGGACAAGCTTTATGTTAAATAGACAACTGTGTGACTTAGTGCTCCAAGAAAACTTATAGATCGTGTTCTCTTTAAGTGGATCATTAAACTTGCCTTTAGATATAATAAAAGTGATTCTAGGTTACTCAAGCAATTTATAATAATAATTTAAGGTCTTTTTTACTGAAAACTATTTGGTTATTATGCATTTATATGTGACTGATGTAATTAGGTTATGAATTTTTATTTCTATTATAACCTGGCCATTCTTTAAAGAAGGTATGCTAGAAATATTATATTCAAAGTGAGTAAAATTATATCCAGTTAAAATCTATTCATTCAGACAGTGCTTCAGGTCTTGTTAATTTTCCCCCATCCCTATCCATCTAAATATCCAGATGTTTGATGTTGCATGTGATTGTACGAAAGCTCTGATCTGAAATCCTATGGCTTACTGGATTACCCTTTACCCACATGGTTTAAATTAATAACAAAAAAATGAACCAGGGCAATCTTGCAACAAAAGAACAAGACTTTATTGTATAACAGAATTGCAGATGTGGAAAGGTGCTCATAATAAAGACAGAATATTTCTGTTTCATAGAGCATCTGGAATGCCACAGGATCTCTAAGTTATCAGGAACTAATGTTAGACAGCCTTGGTTTGTGATTAATTTAATATTCAGAGAGACTTTTTTTAAAGCCTTGTGCCATTCATCATCATAATGTCATTTTTGCAATCCTAAAATGATTTACAAAGTCAACTCTCCCCCTTAATTTCTAAAACAATATTAAGACATCAAAAAGTTTCAGATACAAACTTCAAAGGGCAGCCAAATCAGAGATTTCTGGCTAAGACAGTTTAGATCATTTAATATCCTCTGGTTTTCCTAGGATTAAATTACAGCCTATAGAATTCTTGGAATTTGGCTAAGGAAGTATTATATAATATAGCATGGCAATTTTGGGGAAGCTGGCAAAGGACTACACAGAGGAGATGCCATCTTTTTAATTTATCAGCCTTTCAGTGAGTGCTTGTGAAGCAGTAGAGTAGGAGAAGTTATCCCAGTGTGAATACCAAGCTTTGATAACTGGAGAAATGTTTGAGTGTGAGCTCAGGATGACATTCGTTTGGGGACATTTACTTTCTTCTTTGTAGTCATCACATTACAGTGAAGCTTAGATTCACAGAGTGAAATTAAGGCTTACGAATGAATGTCTGAGGCAGGAACCGATAACAGGAACTCATTCTGACACAGCCACAAAGGCAATGCTTCCAGTCTCTGTGGTTTTCTAGGGACAACAGTGACCGCTGGTTGCTTGTGTAGCGCCATGATGTGGCCTGCGAGAATCACACCACACAACACTCTGGCTGCAGGAACAATCCTAACCATTGGCTTTCTCTGAGGAAATTTAGCATTTTCTAAAAGAACCACATTCAGCTTGAAGTTGAGCTTAAAAGAAAAGGTCTGTGAAACAAATGTTAGTGCTCTGACTAAACCAAAATATAAGTGATTGTTACAGGAAATGACCTGTTACAAAGGACTTTCCACCCCAAATTCACACATGCCGCCAGAAAGGTGAATGTGTTATAGATTGTGATGTGCATAAAAGCAAACTTGATCACTCTTAGGATAATATATATATATTTAAACAAGATTTTGGTGACCTCAGACAATACTGTTCATCTGATAATCCGCTTTGCTTCTGTGCCTTAAGTTGGTAACATATTGTAGAAACAGAAAGCACTGAAGTCTTCCTGATTTAAAGAGATCAATAACAACAAAAAAGATAAGAAATTACAGGAAAACTTTACAGAAAAATTACTTTTCATAATTTTAAATTTGTTTTAAAAATTTAAATGTGTATTTATTGTTCCTAACTTCAGTGTTTTGTGCATGTGCATAAGAGCGTCAGTACCCTGAAGCCACAAGAGCTTGATTTAAAGTGATTAAAGTGTGAGATCTGCTTAAACAGTCAATGCATTTAAACTGCAGTCTTAGGAAACCAGAGTCCACTTTGTAGGTATCTTTCAATTTGGCATAACTAAATAGATCCAAACCCGTATTAGTTCAAGCTGCATTTTCTACTTTCCTAACATGTGTTGATCCTCCCAGTTTATTTTATTTGCACTTCATATTTTAAATTTAGATATGCTATCCCATCAGAATGTGGCTACTCTTTATTGTTTTTAAAGGACTGAGAACATAACTCTCTATTTGCTTTATCATAAAGTTTTGCACAGATGCTCCATGTCATATTTTTAGGTTTATTTTCTCCCTTGGATCCTCTCATGTAGCTACTTAGAATTTCTTTGTGAGTGAAGTGTGTAAAATAAAGGAAACCATAACAGCACATTCAAAATTGCAATAGGCATGCCCATTACATCAGCATCACTTTTCACATTCTTTCCATAATATTTCTTTGTCTATCCTCATTTTAAAGATGAATGAAAGAGGGTAAAGAGAGAGTAGGTAAAGGATGAAAGCACAAATAAGATTAGAAAGCAGGATAGAGAGACGCACAATATCAAAATAGAGTTAAAAGACTCAGTAAAAGAGGTGGCTGCTGAACTTTGCTTGGAGTTACGCCATGTGCTTTGCCTAAAAATGTTAAAATTATGATAATAGAATAATGGTAGGTATCAAAGAAGAGTGCATATCAAATTAGATGTGGCTTCAGGGAGATCATCAGTGATAAAATATTACCCTTTTTCCTTCAGGTTGACAATCCTCCCACCAGTTTCTCATGAATCTGCCAGCAACTAGATTATTTTATTTAGAAAATTAATTTTCCTCTCTGTTGAGGTCACACACTAATGCTTAGCAGGGACCAAGCAGGTAGAGAAAAGGACAAATGTGTCCTATTTGGGATTATATGTTTTTAAACAATATTTTGGAAATCTTGTGTTTGCAAAGCACTCATTCTTTCTAAAAAGTGCAGCCAGTGCCTCAACTCTACCCGCTTGCTGCTATGGGGGAACGTGAGTTCTGTGTAGCTGTAGCCAACTCCTCACCACGTCAATAAGAAAACAAAAATTTTATTTTTCTACTATTTAAAGAAATACAGTAGAAAAAGTCAAAAGCAAATATAAAATTCTAGTATTATGTGATTTATTACAGATATCTTCAACGGAAAACCTAATTAAACCACGTAGTAACATCATAATTTTGTGCCTCGATGTAGAGAGTGCAGAGTAAGATACACATTCCTTTCTTTGAAAGTCAAAAAACTGGGGAGGATGTGGAACCATATGAGATCCTGGATATCCAGAGGGAAGAATTAAGGCCTCACAGTTTCTTAATTCTATCAGTTCTTCTCACTTTGACAGTTCTTTTTCTTCAGGATGGGCTCTCATGCACAACAGAGGGACATTAGAACACAGGTTGTATGTGAACCATTATGTCTTCCACTGTCTGATTTTTTAAAAATCTCATATATGTTTTTAAAGCAAAAGGATATTAATTCCAGTGATTATATTAAGGTGGTTTTGGAAGCACTGCTATAAGTCCTCTGAACTTACATAGGTTCCCCCATAGACATATGTCATCAGTTGTCTGAATTCCATTTAGATTATCTTACTCAGAACTGAACATTCACTGACAAGTACATCTGTGCCAAATGCAAATATTTGATATAAAGGTTGGATTTAGCAAGACTTGCTGTATCTATTATGCAGGAGATTGCTGTAGCCTTATTAGTTGTGAGATGGTTAGGAGTATACCTTTTAAAAATCAATTAGGAGTCCCTTGATAAAGGATCTAGGTCATATTATCTGTTTGTCAGATATTCAGCTGGTATGTGTATTTGTTGGAAATCATTTGAACCTAGGAATCACGTGGTCTCTAATGTCTAGGATCTCTACATTGTTTTAGTTTAGACTACTTTTTTCCAATGAGAGTTGTGCCATTTTTTCAAATAAATCAAAGTATTTTATGCACAAGGAAAAATGATTATGACATATGAAATGTGGAAAGACCACAGCAAAGAACTACCTTTCAGACTAGATATGTCTTCTTATAATTCTTCATCAAATACTAATTTTAAATAGAGCCCCATATAAAGTAAGTTTATGGCTCTAACCAAATGGTTTTATCTTTTTCAAGTGACAGGAGTGAAATTCTTTGTACCTGTGTACCTTTTTGGTTAAACATAAATATAGAGAGATATATATGAATTAATACAAATGACTCAGAAGCTAATAAATCTCCCTTTAATTAAAATAAATACATCTAAAGAGGCTAGATAACTTCAGCTATGCATAGACTCCCCAGTCACTATTCACAAAAGAAAATATAGATATTGATATATTAATTTCCTCTAAAGACCTGTGCTACCCGAGATGACCTAACATTGAAGACTCTTCCTTTGCAGTTAGTTGCTGATGCCTAAGGTCACCTCTTGTGATGGGCGACTGCAGAGGCTGGTCTGCACCCTGTGCTTATTTGGGGGGGGTGGTGCCAAGGGATACTGCATGTACTCTGTTTTATTGAACAACCAAAAAACATCAAAATTCAATTTCAAAATTTTGTGTTAATAATACATGAAACATGCCAATGGTGCAGCTCTTTTGAATCAGATTATTTTAGGAAGTCCACACTGATGGAGTTGCCTTCTAGACATAGCCTCAATGATGTTGATAATCTTTTTCCCTCTTTTAGAGATCTCACTTGGCCTCCCTTTACAATCATGTCTTTTACATTTTAAGAGTGGTTGTCTTCCTTCT